CTTGGGTGTGTGTTACCCGGCTCTCCCCTTTTCCATGGGGCTCTCCCAAGGGCAGATCACCTCCTCCACAGAGCCCTTCCCAGCTCGGGGGGGGGTTGTCCTCTCGCAGTCCATGGGGTGGATTTGGCTCTCTAAAGGAGCATGTTTTTACCTGGAAGAAGCTGTGCTGTGGAGACTCATCACGCGCGGAGACAGCGAACAGGCAGCGCAGAGCCCGGCTTTGAGTCTGACACTGCTCAAACCCCAAATCTCAAAGTGAAACTCCTGGGCACAAGGCCACCGAAGTGGAAAATGAAGGCAATGGGCAGTCCCAGCCCTTTGAAGATGAAGTACTATGTGATGCAGCTCCAGCACGGCCGGGGCACAGAGCTGGCTGCAGACGGAGCCTTCAGATTTGTGCTTTGGAATTAATGATGTGGGCTCATCTGTTTATAATGTGGCCAGAGGCAGAGATGGGTGAAGAGGGGGTGAGGACATGGTACTCTTAGTGAGGGGCACGGCCAGCGTGTGCCCGCCTGATGTGAGGCAGGAGCAGAACCGGAGCCTGGCGCAGGCAGACGTGGAGAGACTGGCAGCTGACTGGGATACGGGTCATGGAATGGTTTGGGTTGGAAAAGATGCTTAAGCTCATCCAGCTCCAACCCCTGTCACAGGCAGGGACACCTTCCACTGGAGCAGGTTGCTCCAAGCCCCTGTGTCCAGCCTGGCCTTGAACACTGCCAGGGATGGGGCAGCCACAGCTTCTCTGGGCACCCTGTGCCAGCGCCTCAGCACCCTCACAGGGAAGAGCTCCTACCTAAGATCCCATCCCAATCCAATGAAGCACACCTCCCATTCCCTGCCCTCCCGCAGCCGGAGGTGTCACAATTTGCCCATGGAAAGCAACAGGGTCATTGCCACCAGCCTCGACCTCCAACTGCAACAGGGGAGTTGAAATTAGATGGTCTTTAAGGTCTCTTCCAACCCAAACCAGTCTGTGGTTGTAGGACAGACCCAGCCCCATAGCTGGGATGCATCCCTTGTCGCATCCCTTACAACGATTAGCCCAGGCATGGAGGAGTCTGTTATCCCAGGAGCATGAGCTTGGCTGTGAACAGCACAACCATGTCACACCCCAGCACCAACGTGCTGCGATGGCCAACAAACAGGGCGCTGAGCTCCAAACCCTGGTGCCTGGCAGTACAAGAAGCCACATCATGTGCTGAAGCCCCCCCGTGTCCCTGGCTGGTGCTGTGAAGGCTCCAGCTCAGCTAGTTCAGCCCTCACAAGCCCAACACAGGTTTATCAGCAGAGGACACGCTGCACGATGGGGTTCCCCACGTACTTCCCAAGGACTCACTCCCAGCAGAAGTTAAATACAGCTCAGGTCTCCGAAGGGAAGAGCTGAGAGCAGAGGCACACACAGAAAACACGCACACGAGAGAGAGGTGACACAGTGAAGGATGAACACCCCGACACCAGGCAGAGAAGGTGAGAACTTGGTTCCTATCTCATTTTCTACATTTATGTTTATTACACAGATGAATGCATGGAAGTGATGGCCACGAAACAACACAACATATTGCTCCGATTTCCAGTGCAAACAACCAGCTTCTTGGCTGGCACAAAGAGAAGTTCAGTTTGTACCATGGTCACGCTTTGTTCCAGGAGACCTTCCTCTTCAGGGAGCAAGCAGTGAGGACGAGGAGCACACTGGGTCGTGCCAGCTTACTCACTGTGTAAGCAGAACAGAGCCAGCTTCTGCCTGCCAGTGTGGGGCTGGTGTTTCACAAGCACAGTGGCTCCAGAACGTGCTGCATTAACCCATGTTAGGGGCACAGCAAATGCAAAGCTGAGATGATGAAAAATCAGAGAAAGGAATAGATAGAGAGAACATAAAAAGCCAATCTGCAGACAAAACCAGGAGTAGAATCAGAGGGACTGACTGGAACACACAGATTTGTTATTTATTATTTATACCCTGACTTGATCTTCCACATGTTCCTACACACTGGCAATCCCAACCTGCTCAGTGCTCCATGTTATACAAACTGCAGAGCTCATCACATCCAAGTAGCTTTCGGACCAAGTTCTTGAGTGTCTTTCAGTGCTCTTACGTCAAGGTAGGTTGATGGTGCTCAGTGCCTGATGGTTTGAAGCAGAGTTTAACATGAATTCCTGCCTGAGCTGCTCACCCTTACAGCATTGCACAATTTGCCCTTGCTTCCAGTGGGAATAAGAGCAGATTTAGCAAGCAGACTTTGACATCAGAGCGAAGAGACTCACACAACTTGGTTTCAGTTCCTCTAAGAAGGTTTATCAACCATGAGGCTAAGGGAGGTCACCAGAATCTCCCCAGCTCAGCTGCAAAGAGACCAGTGCTGCAGTGACACCAGATCAGAGCCTGGAGCCCTGATTCTGCCTCTGATAACACATGGGGAGGGGAAGAATCACTGCTCAAAGCTGAGCTGTCACCTCACTACAGCCCTGTTCACAAGGGGCTGGGCTGCACCACCCGGTGCCTGAGGGCTCCCACATCCAGCTTTCTCCATCTCCCATTTCCTATAAAATCATGCCAGTAGTAAAATCAGCTGAATAATATGAACTAAAGAAGCTTCTCAGGCCTCAGGGCTTCCCTCTGCTTCCCCTAAATTCCAGCAAACAAGGAAGCTTTTATATTCCCCCCCAATTCCCTTTACTGGGCTTTGCAGGAAGCTTCCTCACTTCTGGTAATTCAGGCCTGGTCCAGACATGCTGGGATTTCCCAGTAGAGCCTGGAATCTCCCTGAGCTCTTTAGCACTAAGGTAGCATTTTAGGTTGCCTCATTCTAAAGAGCAAAAGAGACAGAGCAAAAAAAAAACCCTACTTAAAATTGAAATCAGCTTTTAACACCTCTACTCTGGTTCAACTGGAACTACCTCCTGTTAACAGTGGAAAATAGAAGAGCAGGAAAAAGACAAGACAAGATGTAGGAAGGATTTGATAACAGAAACACAAAGCCAATGCTGTATCTCTCAAGCCCTCCTGTGGAGGTGTGGAGAGCCTTCTTGCCAGAGATGGGCTCTCCATACCTGCACACTGAGCTCATCGTATGGAGAGTCACAGGGAGAGCTGAGCTTTCTGCTCATCACCTCCAACATGCTGGAGGGACCTGGAAGTGCCACTGAAATTCAACTAAACCCTCAGAAATGTTCATCCTACCTTCTCACATGGAGTTTACCCCACTCCTCTGCCTGTGGCTCCACTGCCCTGGCTACAAGGAGGGGGATACTGGAAGCAAGGGATACGCTCCTCTCAGAGGGTGCCAGGATGCACCCCTTGGGAAGGTGCACATCCCCCTGGGAGGATGGATGCCAGCACAGACAAGCTGTGACATGGGCCAGCTCGCCCTGCTCCCTGCAGCATCATCCACCTCTGCTCCCAGGAAGGCCGGTTTGAACCCAAAGGGTTGGGATGCCAGAGCTTTACTCTGCCTTGTGCCATCCCACCTCCTGGAGGAGCAGGAGGCAGGGATAGGCGGCCGGAGCAGGAGGCGGGGAGAGGCGGCCGGGCTGCCCAGCCTTGGGGGGGTCTCAGGGCAGCCAGGAGGCATCTCCCCCTCAAGGTGGGCAGGGATGCACCCGCACCCCGAGTGCGGTGCAGCCATCGGCCCGGCTCTGCCATGCCTGGGAAGTGACATCTGCTCCTCCAGAAGCCATGGCAACGTGCAGGAAGCGGGCTGCTGGCAGAGCCGGCCTGGGAAACCTAAAGCAGCACTGACACCTTCAGGAAGGGAAGACGAAGCTCAGCGCCAGCCTCGGCTTGTCTTTTCCCTGCGCTGTGCCCTGCTCAGAGCCTACTTGGGAGGTTCTGCCTTGAGCTGGCTCCTGCGATCCAGCTTGCTCATGACCTGCGTGATGTCCACGGTGGTGGCGGCTTCTCTGGCTTTGGCCTCTTCCTCCCTCTGCCTCAGGATGATGGGGCTGGGGCTGGAGCGGAGGGTGCGGCGGCCGAACAGGAACGGGGAGCTGGGCGACACAGAAAGCAGCAGGATGTTACTGGAAAGGAGGGCACCAAAGACTTGCCCCTGGTAAGCAAACTGCCCAGGAGGGCCAGCTCAGATGTGCCACTGTCACCCACACAGCCACAGAGAGGTGCAGATGTGGATGAGGTGGTTTAAAGGGCTCGGTGCCACACACCAGCCACAGAACTGCTAAAAGCACAAAGGCAGCCCTGGCCCTGGTCCTCCCGGGTGACCCCAGGGCCAGGAGGTGGCTGGCACATTACTCACTTCTGGTTTAAATGTTTGCACATAAGTAACACGCAGTGTGAAGCCAAACAACCGCCATCAGTGGAATTTATGCCCTCAGTAAGATCAAGACAGGGATCAGACCGGGTGTTTCTGGTGTCTGTGATACCCCCAAAAACCACCCGCTACTGCTTCAGCAAAGCCATTACCAGCAGCAGTGGAAACAAGTGTTAAACCACCTCTGTCTGAGGCACCAGCTCTTCAGTTGAACCACAATGCTAAGCACTGAGTGTCCAGAGCAAGCACTGACCAACACAGAGGTAGTCACCAGGATCAACCAGCAACCATGTGATGTGTGGCTCAGGGAAAAGCTAACCAAACCCCGGCAAGGCAGCACGACGGGTTTTTCCACTGCCTTGAAAATGGGCTTTACATGAAACAATAATGTGAAAGTCCACGATTCCTGTTTCTCACTTGCTGGGTTGACAAGTGGAAGAGGAACAGAGAAAGCAGCACACTGCCCAGTCTGCCTCTGGCATCGCACGCTCAGCTTAAAGAAGCAATTGCAGTTCAAATGGCCTAAGTTTGGTCCACAGCCTCCATTTTAACTGGGGAAAAAGCCATTTCAAGCCTCTTCTGTGGCCACCTCCCTTGTGTCAATAGTCACAAGTAAGATGCTGTCTGTCCCTGTGTGGCTGCCCGTCACCTTTGCTTCACAAGGGGTAAGAGGCTTTGTCCAGGCAGCACTGAGCAGAGCCCATGGAGAATCCTGCACTGGATCTGTGTCTCCTGTGAATGCCTCATGGGTGGGAGCTTTCCTATGCCCAGCACACAGTGCTCTCTCCTTCCATCCAGAAGAACCATGATCAACTCAACCATCACAGCCTTTCCAAACAGACCCAACAGAGAAGGCAGCCAAGCAATCACCAAGTCATTGCTGACCGCACACCAGGCACTTCCAAAGGGCTCACAAACAAACAGCATCATCACTCTCAGAGCAAGGCATCTTCTTAGTGAAAAATCTTATTTAATTAAGCAAACACCTAAATCACAGTAATTTTGCTGCAACTCAGGCTTTTCCTTCCCTTGCTACAACAAGAAAATCAAACCCCACAATTACACCCAATTTCACTTGCCTTTTTTTGACAGTCTCTTGTGGCACAACAGCGTTGGCCAGCATTTCCTTGTATACTGGAGACTTTAAATAGCGGCCATAGGAGTCCTACTGGGAGAAAAAGAGACCAACTGGTAGTTACAGGCTGCAAACACCCTTATTAAAATCACCACCACATACAGCTGCTCAGGAGCCAGGGAGGCTGGGAACTGGATCATCCCCCCCAGCAGCCCAAGGGACTTTGCATCTTTCAGGCAAATGTAGCTGTTTCAACCAATACCCTATCATCTCGGTGTAAAATTCCCAGGATTTTCCATCTCACAGTAAAGCTTCCCAGGTAAGAGCCAGACCAAAAGGTCTGAACTGAGCTTAGCCCAGGCCAGCGGTGTCTGCTTATGCTCTTGGCACAAAACTCATGCAGTTCTATCACAATCGCTACTAACTTTCCCATCCACTGCTGAGATCCAGTTGGATACAAGCACTGGAATACCTGCTGTGTGCAGAGATACACAAAGTAGTACTAACTGAATGAAGTTAAAAGATTTGTACAGGCTTTGAAGGAGCTGGTACCAAGCTGGTATTAGGAAGTTGGACTTCCAGCAGACACCTGATGTCCACCCTGGGGACACGCTGCCTTAGAGGGAAGCAGCAGCTAAATACAAAGATCTGAACGAGTGCTTGCTTAAGTCAGCAAATTTGAGGGATTTTCAAACAAAGGCCACTTGAAAGTGACAGTTTACAGCACACAAAGGCATGGAAAGGCCCCGAGGACTGGAATCCCCCTAAGGCTTTGGAAACAAGCAACGAACCTTTTTCATCAGCATGTAAATGTGGGTCTGAGCAGCATCTAAAACATAACGATGAGGGTGCTTGAGGCCTTTGACAGTGATGCCCATTGTTGTGCCGTCAATGTTAATCCAGCGCCTTGCTCCTGGAGCCAGGAAGAGCCTGCAAGGAGGAGAATCCATTAACAGCTGGAGAATGCCTAGAGATCCCTCTGTCTGTGCAGGAAAGAAAAAGCCCCTTCAGCTGCCCACTGCAATTTGCTGTCCTGACCTCGGGCAGCCAACCTCTGGACATGCAGTCACTTCCTCTTGCACTATTAACACACAATATAAACCAGCTTTCAGTCCACTAGGAGCAAAAAGGGCCTGGAAGCTGTGAGATCATTACTGTTCCACACCTCTGGTCAAATTACATGCTAAGACCTACATGTAATAGTGGAGAACAGAGAAGAAAAGTAACTATAAAACAAAATAATAGTTACACTTTCATCTTCAAAAGCTCCTTTCCTACATGGGGACATAGAACAGCCACATCTGATGACAGCTTACAAAGACATGTCTCAGGAATAAATCATTTGGAGGATGACAAGGTGTGGAAGAAGGTGATGGGACTCAGGCACAAAATGTTTAAGAATGGAAAATTATCACACTCACTTGTAAATCTCTTCTGCTTTCTCTTTGACCTTGGATTGGTCTCCATACTTGAGATCCTCACAGGCTTCCCAGAAACTCAGATTCTCTCCTGTGTAACAAGGACACATTCAGCAGAGAGCGAGACTGAGGATAACACAATCGATCCCATTTATCAACTCCTAAACTGACTCTGTTTGGCTCACTATGGCTCAGTCTCTCCAATTCTAACAGCCACCTTGAAAACCCCCCTGGGACTGAAGGAGGAAAACCTCTTTCCCCTGCTCCAGTGCTCGTGAATCCCACCAGATCCAGCCTGGGAGCAGCCCCCTGCACAGGGAGAGCCCTGGGCTGTACTTTGTGTCCTGTGCCACTAGATGGTATTGCACGCACGGTGCCTCCAAAGTCACTTCTGCCTTTCCTGAGTGACTTCGTGGTTGTCTCCACTCATGTCACCCACTGCACTGCTGTGTGGGGACAGGGACACGGACACAGCAGACCCACCGCTGAACTCCTTCTTCAGGAAGAGCTGGAAGTTCTGCCGACCTTTGGGGTCTCGTATCAGCTCACTGAAATTGAAGGCCCATCGCTCCACACGCATCCTGGTGGGGATTTCCACTCTGCACGGGTTGAAAACAAACAGCTCTGCCAGTTGCACGCAGCACATCTAATTGGAAGATTAATTAAAACCAAAGTGGCCTTTGCTGGAATGCCAAGGGAACGCTCAGCACTCTCTCTTTTCCAGGATGCTGTAATGAGCTCCCAAAGTCAGCCCACTAAGCAAGCTGTAATTAAACAACTTGGTACACAGTGGGATGAGGATTTGACTTGGGCTTTTGCTGCTCTCCCAGTGACAGCCCAGCTTTGCTGGAGGTCTGCCTCAGTCCCATTCTGGGGCAGGCACTGGTTGCTGCCCAAAGCTTTGCTTCTCACAAAGGCATTCTGTGAAGATATCCTTTGGGGCTGTCTAATGGGATATTATCACTCTAACAGGATTGCTGGGCTCAAATGAGAACCATAATATGCTTTGTGCTTCCAGCCCAGAGATGCCAATCTCTAAATAGCAAATATTTTCTGAAGGGAAAACCAAGGGAGACCTCAGAGAGGGGATGGGCTGCCAGGATGTGCCTCCAGCTCTCTCCTAAGCAGCAGCCTGAGGTGTGTGCCAAGACCAAGGCTCAGGAGTTGAACCCTCAATTGCTGCACCATTGGCAGCACCTCATTTAGCACCTAATGCTGAACTAAGTGCTGTACCTGAGTGTAACTTATTCCATTCCTGTGCTGGTAAAAGTGGATGTTGCTCATCCAAAAGGAGGATTTAGACCCTCAGCAGGGGCTGAGGGCTCCTGTCATCACTTTAGGAATTTCTGTAATGTTAAGGAAGACTCCACTTGAAGAAGATAATGCTCAAAGTTCAGCATGGAGCATTCCCAAGAGATGGCTTCTTTAGCATGGCCAAACTAGGACAGAAAGGGAATGCTTTCCTGCTCATGATCAGAGACCAGGTATCATGATGAAATCATTTCTATCAGCATAAAGGCCCATGACAAAAGAATACCAATACCTACAGCTTTGCATTGAGATCCCAGAACTCGGGGTCGTCTGTTATCCAGGGGTTGCTGGGGAGGCACCCGGACAGGATGGGATCATTGGAGAGGAACTGCTCCGAGTACTTCACAAGCCTGCAAGTAAACCCAACAAAATCAAGTATTCATTTGCAGGCAGAAGTGCAGCCAGAAGAACAGATACCTTCAGAGGTGCACAGGGATCTGCAGTGTGGCCCCTGGAGAAAGTGATTCATCAGCTCAGTTAATGTTTTCCACTTCCCAAATGGTGGGAATCTCCTGCTTGTCTTTCCAAGCAGTGATCCTGCCAGTTCAAGCGCAAGGAGATAGAGGACTCTCTTCCATCACCTCAAGGAAGTGGGACTAAGCCCCCAGATGGCTTCTGTCCCCTTCTCCAGCCAACTGGCAAAGCCTGGATGCTCTGCCACATGTTACAGAGAGGAAAGTGCCACAGAAGAGGAGAGCAAGCATTGGATTTGCTCAGGTGGGTTCTCTGCAGCCTTCCCTTGGGAGCTGAGGGCACATCCCAGCTTCTCTTTCCTCTGCTCACCTACAGCACAGCTCATTCCTCTGCAAATCACTCTGAGGGCTTGGCACGAAGCAGAAATGTCTCTGTCCCAGCAGGATCCAGACAAACACTTCTCCCACCTTCGAAGTTGGCCAGACTTGTAATTACAGCCTGGTTCAGTGACGTGCTGGGATTTCAGCCTTCTCCTTTCTTCAGCCTTGAAAAACTCATCTGGTTTCTGCATTTAAAATTCCTTCCAGGCCAAACTGCTTTCATGTGCTCAGAGCTGGAGTGCACTGTCCAAGGGCCTGCTGCTAACAGGCACCTTGGCATCCATCCTGCATTATACAATGCAGCTACACAAAGCATACCACAGGTTTGGCACAGACCTCCTCGATCCTATCTTCTCACTGGCAATGCCAAGACACTCAGCACCTGCATAATTCCCTCCAATCCATACATGACAATCAGGCTACAAATCTAAAGCTGTCAACAGAGGTATCATTGCCCTGTCCGTTCACTGATGAGTGCTTTGCAGCTCCTCCTCAATCAGTGCAGTGCCCTGATGTGTGCACACTGATGCTCGTAGCCTCATCAGTAACAATTTGATTTGGACCCAGTCCTGCAGCTGAGCTGGAGATCCAGATTCCTGGAGGATTTGTTGATCTAGGTGAAGGCATTATTCCATCAGAGGACTAGAACTAATGAGTGAAAAGCTCCACTGCCAAACAGTCAAGCACCATAAACTTCCTGGAAGGCAGCCAGGCATTCCCAGCTCCAGCTCACAGCTTGGAAAATTGAGGGAGGAGAGTTTGAAGGGAGCTGGGAGTCAGTGGCAGATGAAACGCTGGTGCCTTTGAGTCGTGGTTCTCAGAAGACTTCCCAGACTCCTCCTCCCATTCCCTTCATCCATGACTATCATCTCCCAGGGAACAGGCCTCAGCTCCTTGTTTATCTCAGGTTCTATATGAACCCCTGCGTGGCAATGACAGTGTAGAGCAGACTGGGGTGTGGACTGCACCTCTGGGCAACTGGCCAGCACGTAAGATTGCAAGTAAGAAATGCCTGTGGCTAATGCCAGGACTGGCTCTTTGCACCTCAGTGGCTGTATCTGAGAGTCTGCTCAGGAAACATTGGCACTGAGAAGAGGGATTGCTAATTCACTGCTTGGATGATCACGCAGAAACGTGTGTTTCTTCATAATACAGGATAACCAGAGACTTCCCCAGCTCTGCTGCCCTGTGGTGAGCATCACCATGTGAGCAAGAACACTCACTGGGGCCAAATCCAGCCCAGCAGGCTGGGGACCAGGGACGTGAGGGTCAGCGTGTCCCTGCTGGTTACTCATCCTGCATCCTCACAAGGCAGCCTCCACACAGCTGCCTTTCCACACTGCAGAGGTCCCAGGCATCATGACCCAGCCCCAACCAGTATGAACACCTCTTAGTTCAGAGGGAATCTCAACTGAGAGGCTGGCACTGCTCTGCAGACACTCCTAGCAAAGCTCTCCTTAGCTCCAAGGGAGCCTTCTTCATCCTGACTGGGACTGATCCCTCCTCTCCTTGTGCCTCCTGGTGCAAGCAACACAGCCCAGACAGCACAAACAACCCTGTGTGAGGCCACCACATGGATTCCCCTGCCTGAGTCACCAGACAGCTTCATCATCTCACTAGGAGATAAGTGCTGAAGACTAATTAATGTGTGGACAGAAGGAAATCAGGACTTACCCTCCAAGAGAGACAGAAGATTTCACTCTGGTCTTCACGATGGCCTGCTGATAGTACATGATCTGAGAGAGACCAGACATGTCCATGGTTAGGAGCATGGAGATGTGAAGACAAGGCTGTCTCTGTATGAACCTCAAACATGCCCTCTCCCAGGTAGTGAGGCTAACTACAACAGGAACTGCTTCTTCCCTATTTACTGGATGACCAAGGAACCAGGGAATCCCTAAGCTATCTTAGTAAAACGGCTGTTTTCACTGAGCTTACTGCAAATGTCAGAGAAGCATTTTGCAATGTGCAAGTAATTAAAAAGCACTCCCCATGCTATATGAAAATTGGATAATAGCTACTATTCCAGGCACCTACAATAGCTCTGGATGATTTAGCATGTAATTACCATTGATCCTTGGCTGTCTCTATGCTGGCGCCACTGGATGCATCTCCTAAGTCTTCCCTACCTCTAATTGTGATCGATTGGGTTTGAGCCCTGGTGTCTGTCCTTGTCTGAGCCTTCCCATCACTGCCTGCAGTGGGAGGTGCAGAGGCAGGAAAACATCCTGAAAGGGACCCTCTTGCACCACTGCTGTGAGATGAGCACCTACAAGTGAAGGAAGGAAAACTCACCTCTCTCCTATAGACATCCAGAGTTTTTTTCTGCAAAAGAAAGAAAGAAAAACCATTCCATTGGGATGGGTGCCTCCAATTGCCTGTTTTGAGGCACGAAGCCACTGTTGCAGCGCTGCCATTGTGCAGTGCTCTCCAATTAAGCCTCATTACAATTAAAATCAAAGGCAGCAGCTCAGCTAATCAGGGTCTCATCAAAGCTAAGAGCATCCACACACCGTAAATCATTCCCTCAGCTGTATTTACTGTTCAGCATTGCTGCTTCCATCACTGCCTGCATGCCTTCAATTAAGGGGTTATTCTAATGGAGCTAAAAGAGATGCATTTATGAGACTCAGATTAGATCATTCAATATTAGCTAAAGGAGACAGGAACCAACACATTGCAAAATATAAACACCACAATTAAAAGCCTCAGAAGCACTATCTGCTGTGCAGAGGGTGTTTATGTTGTGATGTGAATAACTCAGCCTATGTTACATGTCATCCACAAATGAGCAAGCAATTGAAGGCAAGAAATTAACTGCAGGGTGTTTATTCACGCAGCTTCCTTTGAAGCACTGTTACTTTGCGTGAGGCAGAAGGAAAGACAGGCTACACCAGGGATGCTCCCAGCAAGCCTCTAAAGGCTTCCGCAGTGTTTCAGCTCTTCATCCCCTGTTTTAGCCAGCAAGATCTGCATCCCAGTATTATTGTATCAAACTAACCCTGTGGCAGCCATGGGTCTGCAGAGAGCCCTGGTGAGGGGCAGTTTGTGAGCAATGAGGGATGAAGTATCTGCTATTGAATGCCACAGGCTGCCTGCTTCCCCCATCTCCTCACCAGAGAACCTGCATCCCAAGCTGCCTCTGCTATGGGAAAAGTAAGACACTCTCCCAGGGCTGCTTTGAGGGCACCATCGTGGCTACACTGCTCCTGTATATAAACCATTGTCACTAGTCCTGCTCAGGAGGGAGAAACTCTTCTGTGGAAGAACACCCTGCACGTTTAGCTCAAGCTCAGTTGATTTGAGAGGGCACACTCCCCACTGCAGCAGCAGGAGCCAGATATGCAGCAGAGCAAATCTGTACAGGGCTACCATGAAGCCAGCGCATCCGATCCCAACACAAACCTAGCCTGGCCAGTGCAGGACTAACAGAGATCCTCACTCTGGCCTTGCAAGGAGAGGAGGCTTTTTCTGCTGGGAAATAGCATGACCAGCTCTGAATGAGTGCAGTGCACACAGCCCCAGCAGGACAAACAGGAAAGCTAACAGTGGCTGGACCAGCAGTGATGCTCTGCTGGCCATGCACAAGGAGCTGCGTGTGAGAGAGTAAGAGCTGACACATTAAGGGGGAGAAAAAGCTCTTGGAGCACAGGACCTCTGGTCACAGGCTGAACAGCCTCCCTTGCTGGTTCAGAGGACACATGGGCTAAGGAAAAGCTTTTCACCCTTTTCTGCTCTTAGCTGCACCCCTGCTAAGGCCAGCTTACACAGACAGTATTTCTTCCCCCCATTTCTAAAGCATCATCATTGTTTCAGATGGATGTAGAAATGGAAAGAAAAAAACCCAAAACCACCTGCTTGTGCAGAGAAATTCACTGCATTTACTGCCCTACCAGCGTGCTCTCTAGAGAACTTGGTTTCTGTTTCAGGCCAGCTATTTCCTGCACAACAGGAGTTCACCATCTCCTTGGGGAACCCGAGATATGAACCAGGCTCCATCAGATTTACAGCTGAACTGTTCCATTTGATGGAACTTCAGTGCCAGTAGGGCATTTACTTTAGGAAAAATCAACACATTAACATCATCAGATGGTTTTAAAAGGCCCCTCATTTCTTCCTCTGTTTTGTCAGGTGGTGCCTCAGACAGGCCTGGTGCAGTGGGGTGAGGAAAGGTGGATGCTGAAACAGTGGCTCGAAGGCAGCTCTCGTGGTAGTGAAGTTGTGTTATCTTCTACAGGGGCCTTAGAGGCAGGCAGCACACCACACACACACGAGACAAACAGCTGGTGGGAAAGAGAAAGAGAACACAGGAAGTTAAATGTTATATAGAGCAAGAAAGGCACAAATTAAAATGCCATCACAACAGGAAAATTATATGTGGGTAAGTTAAAATCAAAGCTAATGCCATGTCTGCAAACAAGGAGAGATTACTTATTTTAAGTGCATCCTACACCAAGGATCCCCTCCTGCCACAGCCTCAGTGTGCAGGGCAGCCCTCTGGATAGCTGGTCCTGGGAAACCAGGGGGCTTTGGGCTCCAGGGTGGGAGGGCATTTGTCAAGGCTACAGGTACTGGCTGTGCTCAGCCCTTTCCAGCCCCCAAATCCACAGTAACTGGGAAGGATCTCGGCAATTTCACCCCGGAGCTGCACACAGTTCACTTCCCTTTCTCCCACAGCGTTCCCATGACCAGCTTCCAGCTTTATTACTGGTACAAGGATCCCTGAACCCTCCCTGTGTCCTGTTGAGTATTGCCAGTTGTCCCCAGCATCCTGCCCATGCTTACCCGCTGCCACTGACAGCAGCAATGCCCAAGTGCCCTGTGCCACCCTCCTTCACTTGGACAGAAACCACATTTGGAACAAAGGAGTAATTCCTTATAATGAGATGAATTTTGCAATGCCCTGAACTAGTGACTTGTTGCAATGGCCACAGATGAGCCCCAGCCCTGCAGGCTGCAAATCAAACTGCAATTAGTGAAAGGCCTCGGTCTGCGTGGGGCGAGTGCTGGGTGCTGTTAAACACCCTGAACACACAGCAGCACTGGGACACCCTGCACAGCCCCATCGCACCCCTACACCATCAGCTGAGTGCTCCCCATGCACACAGGGCTGCAGAGCTCAGCTGGGAGCCAACCAGGACCTGCTCAAGAGCTCCACGTCTGGAGCTGATCCACATGGATGAAGCTACGAGCTCCTACAAGAGCTGGGACATGCTGATTTCCAGCTAACCATTCACATGGGCCTCCTCTGCTCTCAGCATGGGTCTTCCTGACCACACTGTGGAGATAATGGTCATTCTGGCTTGGCCTTGCCTGGCCACCATTCAGAGCTTACAGAGGCCATAAGCAGCTGGACAACAGCTTTTGTGTGTGTGCCCAGAGGGAGTGAAGAACAAACACAGGTAGATGTTATCCAGAGCTCATTTTGGACCAGGGCACTGCAAATCACACCTGCAGCCCATGCACACAGCTCTGTTCCTGCCCACACAGACAGACCTGGACCTTTCCCTGCATGCAGCCAGCTGAGAGCCCTGAGGCCAGAGGCAAATACCAAGTCTAGCATAAGACCATCTCAATGTACATCTCCACTGTGCTGCTGCTTCCAGCCCAAGAGCTGCAAATAAGCCCGTAACAGTCCGTACACCCAGTTTCATTCAAGCTGCTGTTTTTCCCCTGTCCTGTTTCTCTGCTCTGACCCTGCTACCTCAAAAGATGGGATTCATGCAGCAGAAGTGATGCATTTATCAGGCAGCCGAATGGACAGAGACTAATGAAGTGAAAGGCCAGCAGTGACTAGGATGCTCTGTGCCTCATTCACTGCACTACAATAAGCCAGGGCATTCCATCCAGCCATCCCTGAACCCAGCACAGTGATTTTTGGCCAAGCCAAAGCACCTTTCACACAGACTCTCTGTTTGCAGAAGGCAGCACAAGCTGAGTGTGTCCCTGCAGGAGAGCCAGTGGGCTCTGGGCAGTTGCCTGGTAACTCTCTAAGCAGTGAGGCTCGATCATGAGCCTGAGACCCGGGTAAGGAAAGGCTAAAGCATCCCTTAATTAGCTGTTCCATGGGTGGCTACTTCTGCCTCACTCCTCCTGCCCAACTACAGCTCCTGACTCATTATAACCGTGAGGGATGCCCATGGGTCAGAGAAAAAAGCCCCTTCAAAGGAGTGTGAGAGCCTGTTTATCCCCAGAGGACTCCATCAATTAGGGAGGGAGCAGCCCACCAAAGGGTCTGAGGCAAGTGAAGGAGATGCTCACGCCAATACCAGCTTCACAGAAGCCATTCTGATGTCAGGAATTCATTATCACCAGGAATTCTTTTTTTCTCGGCTGCCAAGGTAGAACACAACTAATTGGCCAACAAAATGAAGCTGGATTGAGTGGGAAGAGAGACACAAATCAAGTGGATTCATGCACTTTCTGCTCTCATCTTTTCACCTATGTCAAAGCCAGCAACAGGGCCCACAGAAAACATCAATAAACTCTGCACTGCCTTCAGCAGGGGTAAGATACGGCCAACATAGCACAGGCCAGCTCAGCACCTACCAGCAGAGCTTGTGCTGTCCCTTCTGCTCCCCAAAGGCTGTTGAGCCACAGGGGTTTGTGAGAGCAGCCTGAAGAAAAGGAAGGAAGCTGCTAGTCCAGAGGTGTCTCTACGTGGGCTCTGGCTGCCTCGTGTACATCAGCTGCTCTTTCAAAAGCAGAAAGAGGAGCAAGAAGAAACTTCCCTCTTCTGCTCAGCCTCCAGCGAGGAGACACAGCTCAGAGACCAGCTTAAAGGCAGTGAAGTCTCCCCAAGCTGGTGCCCTTTGAATCATAGAATCACCTGGGTTGGAAAAGACCTTTAAGCTCATCAGGTCCAACCGTCCCCATCAGTCCCAAGGCCACCACTAACCCCTGGCACTGAGGCCTTGGCTACATGATGTGTGAACACTTGCAGGGACGGTGACTCCAGCCCTGCCCTGGGCAGCCTGTTCCAATGCCTGAGCACCCTCTGGGCAAGGAGACCTGCCCTGGGGCAGCCTGAGGCCGTTTCCTCTTGTCCCATCACTTGCTGCTTGGCTCATGCACCCTCAGAGTCCCCACTGACAGAGGGAACTGACTCACGTGCGGGGTGGGAACTGGCGAGACACCCTCAACTCACTTCCCCTGTGTCACCACGCAGATGGCTTTGGGCTCCCAGACCGTTTGCAAACCTAAACCCTCCTTCCATGTCAGCTGCAGAACTGCGGGCGAGGCGCTGGCTGCTCCTCCTGCCATCCCTCTCCCTTCCTCTTAGAAATAAAGGGCTTTCAGCAGCTGCTACTTAGAGCGAGGAAAACCAAAACCACCCCAAGCCTACACTTTGCTCATTTCCAGTCTCTATAGCAACAGGACACCGTAGGCCAAAGCAATTACCCTGCCTCTGGCTGCAGGGATGTTTAAAGGCTGTTAGGAAAATGAGTTGTGGGAATCCAGTGAGTGTGATCACAGCCACATTTGCATCTCATTGCTGAGAGAGGCTTTGACTGCGCTGCCAAATGAACACCATTAAGTGCACGAAGACAGGATCACTTAAAAGGCCTGATGGAGAAAGAGAAGAGCAGCTCCAGCTCCTCACCCACTGCCTGCATTTGTCTTGTTGGGACTCTGAACCAGTCACAGCCTCAGTTCATCAATCCTGTTTAAGTATTCCCTCTTTACAATACGCATTTTTAGGCAGTGTTCTGCATCTCCCATCCACCATCCCAACTTCTCCATCTTCCTGCCACACATCACCCTTTCTAGAGGTACTCTGCCCCTTGATTTTAAACCTGATCTTCCCACTGATCCTTTACACCCCACACAGCTCATCCAGCGCTAATAAAAAGGCAGCAATTAGCATCTGGAGTCAAGGATTCCTGAATTCAGCTGCAGCAGCACAGCAAACATGTCCCGTAGCTAAGCACTCACACCAAGTGGTGTGGCAAGAGAGCTGACAAAGTATTTTCAAGCCCAAAGAAGCTGCCAAAGCCTATTTTGAGGGCCCCACACCCTGGACAATGAGACTGCTCCAACCTCTGGCCTGCTGGGCTGTCACAGCAGAGCTGACTCACCCAGCCTGCAGGGGCCCAAAACTGACAATCCCAGGGATGTTGTCTGGGTCCTCCCAAGTCCATAGGTGTGAAAACCAAAATCCTGCCTCACCTGGTTTACCTTGTTTTCATTGGGATCTGTCACACGGTCTAACCCGTACTCCAGGACATCCAGCATGCCGGGCTGTTGCGGACAAGAACACCAGAACACTCTCTGAGTCGTCTGTGTTGAGGTCTGTGGTTCACACAAGTGCATGAGGAGACCCTCGAGCCCCAGGGGCTCTGCTGCCAGCAGCTCCTGGCCACCAGCAGTGCCCGGGGTGGGCTCTGCCCCCTCAATCTGGGAATGCTCCTCTCCTGGAGCTGCAGCCAGACCTGCCTCCTTTGCGCCTTAGAGAGCAACCAAGGAGGAAGATGGCGTGGAGTCAGGGCAGGCCTGGGCCGACCCCTTCCCATGGCCTTAGCTTGTCCCCAGTAGCTGCAGAAGGGAACCACTGAGGCACTAAAGCCACACAGCATCATCTCTACTTACAGGAGTTCGGTTCACAAGCCAGTAGGCTCTCTCCTGGCAGTCCAGGGCGTACCTGTCTGCCTTCTTCCGCTCCTTCCCTGCCCTGCAAAGCCAAGAACAGGATTTGGCTCTATAGGAATTCATGGATTTTGCTTTCCTAAACCCAGTGAGAAGAGAAAGGGGGCAAACCTCCAGTGTCCCCTGCCCCGTGGCTCCCAGCCTGACTGTGTGATGCTGCCACGCAGCCTCCTGACCACTTCTCACCCCAGCTCATCCTGGGCTGCAGATCATGCTGCTCACATGGCCACACACAACCGTAGCTTTTGAGAAACCATCATCTTGCTGAGCTCAGCTGGGAGCCCACACATGCTCTTTTGATTACACACACCAGCCCTCGGGTAGGCTCCTGCCAACAACCCGCTACTTGCAGTCAGTCCTGCTGCCTCAGGTTTATCCATGCCCGACGTCCCTGGGCAGTGTCTGATGGCTGCCACACAGGGATGCATCCCAGACATGTCTCACCCCTGTAAAGGGGGGCATTTCTCCCAGAAGTTATTTGGAAACGGTACCAAGCAGTGTTCCCAGGCGCTAAAACCCAAATCACCTCTTCTATTAAACACAAGAGGCACTAAGCATGGTTTTGGGCTTGCACCAACTAATTCTTTCCCAGAAAAGTCCTGGGCACGATCTGGGATTTCGCATGGGTAAGGGAGGATTCCCAACAGGCTGTTTGCATGTGGCCAGCCCTCTGTGGTTACAGGGTGGCTGTGGGCTGCTCTGCACCAGTCTGCCCCAGCATCACCAGCAAACAGCCCCAGACGTGTTTCATCTGCCCGTTCAGACACAGGATCTAACTTTAAAAGTGCATTTGGCACCTCTTAGCCCGAGTCTGACCTCAATTTACAGGAACAACAGTTTGGTGTCTAATGAGACAGTTATCTGATGAGCTGTATTTGGAGGACTTGGCTCCCATCCCAGCGAAGGCAGAAACAGTGCTGAGCAGCAGAGGCAGTGCTGCTGCGTGGGGAGGTAACACAAGGTAAAAGGAGCCTATAGAAGTAGGAAAGATGCTGTCTCCAAAGGAGTAATCCCCATCTCATGTTCACCGACTTTGCTGGGAATGTGAAGGATTCAGCTTCCAAAAATCAAGCAATTTTGGCTGGAGCCCAAGTCTGCACTTCAGAGACTTCTCCAGAAATCCCTGCTGGGCACATTCACTGCTCGTTGGTTCATTCCTTTCACTTCAGCTGTGGGACACGTGCAAGCAATGACTGAGCAGCAACAGCTCCTGCGTCCAGTGGCCTGACCCACACATGCTCAGGCACAGCCCCAAGCCAAAAGAAGCTGTCTCTAGTGAGGGCTCACACACTGCAGCACCAGACCCTGGCTTCCTCGGGGAGGCACATTGGGTGCAAAGTCTAAGCCTCCTTTTGCACACTTACACATGTGCAAAAGCCATTTGCAAAGGGGCACGAGTCTGTGTCACAGGAAAGGACCTACCTCTGCCTGTGCTCTCAAAACCCACATCGATTCCATGGCTTTGGTGGGCAAATGCCAGGCAGGGAGAGAAAGAGGGGTGCAGAGGGTGAAGCTTTAGAGTGGGCACCCAATTCCTCACTCACAGAGTGCGAGGTGAACAAAGCTTCCTTGTTACCCAGAGGAACCCCATGCTGACATAGAGGCACTTTCGTTTGTTTCACAATCCTGAGGGGCACTTGCAAGTGATTTTAAAGCTGCAGTTTATGCTTTCAAACTGCAGTTTAACTGTGTACCAAGACTGTGAAGCTCTGCTGCCTCACACCCTCCCCAGCAATGCAAACAGGGGAACGTGAGTTATACTTATACTCACTTATACTGCTCTTTGGCCTGCATGATGACAAAATCCCACTTGTAGTTTATTTTCTGGTTGAGTAGGTTGTAATGCTCCTGGAATAAAACCAAAGCAGCAGTCAGTGTGATAATCGTGCACCAGGAGCTCCCATGGAGGGGTTTTCTTGACTCGCCATCGCTCAGCTAGGCCAGGCCAAGAGATCTGGATTGTTCTGCGTGGAACTACATGAATTGCAACACTTCAGAAAGACCACTGCAAAGAGCAGTTACTCTGACGAAATCATCCTCGATTCAGAGTGTTTTCCTGTGCTGGTGACTTTTCCATTTCCAAGATTTTGGCTTTTGGCACTGCTGGAAAAACATCTCGTGCGATTGAGGAGGTGATTTTTTGCCATGCTCCCTTCATTACAACAGAGGGGACAAGTGCAACATGTCCTTACCTTTTCATATTCTTCTAAAACCCCTTTCCTCTTGATGTTCTTCTTTGCTAGGTAAATTGCTGTGGAGGGAGAAGCAGGAAGCATCAGTTGAGCAGCAAATCCAAGAATAAGGAATTTTACCCACATGACAAACACAGGAATCTTTGTCTGTTACAGTCTTCCCAGGCAGGAGCTCCAAGCTCACAAAAGCTCACTGGAGGAAAATGAGCCTGGTGCTTTCATATAATCTTATCATAGAATCCCAGACTGGTTTGTGTTGAAGGGACCTTAAAGCCCCTCCAATTCCAATCCCTGCCACGGGCAGGGACACCTTCCACTAGAGCAGGTTGCTCCAAGCCCCTGTGTCCAACCTGGCCTTGAGCACTGCCAGGGATGGGGCATCACTTTGTCACTGCTGCTTCAGGAGCCAGTGACACAGAATGGGCTGTGTGTGCCTCTGCTGGCAGACACCCCTGCTCTGGGAACTCACAGAGGTTTCACAGCTCAAAGGATACAGGACCAGATGCTGAGGTTCTTCACAGTTTGACCTCCAAGTTCTCCAAACACCAGCCAATGTTTTGCTCCAAGTTCTATTAAAAACATCCCAATCTAAAACGGGCTTTTTTATTTCCCCAGATCTACAGCATAATGTAGATAAAAGCCACAGAGGACAACCTTGGTACAAACAAATCAGTCTGTGAGCTCGCAGCCTGCAGGAACAAACCAAGTTTCATGGCCAGACCTATAATGAAAAGCATTATAAAGGCACCAAAAACTTGATATGGGAAGAGCCATCAGGAGACACTGGAAGCCACTGCGCATTACATAAGGAATGAGCCATCTCTGAATGCAGGACTTGATCCAAATCGACAGGAAGACAGTCTTGGGCTCAGATCCAGGAATACACTTAACTACTCAGGGAAATCTAACCTTGTGTTTAAAGCCTTCTCTGCCCAGCAGAGTATTTCAGATGTGTTCCAGTCTGATGGAGCCCAGTGGAACGTCAGAGAAGCTTAAGCACTTTCTCTCATCAAGGCCACCACAAGGTGGTCACATCCAGGGTGTTCCCTCAATTCAGAGCACTGGGAATTGCTCATGAAAGGAAACACAAGGGATGGCCACAGCAACTGGACACACAGCAGGAAGAGCTGAACAGCAAACACGGTGCAGGGCTGTGTGCGCTGAGAAGCACAGTGCTGACACTTACCATAGTCGGTGTCATCAGCAGGCCACTTCTGTGCGGGCCAGAAATAGGGGGTCTGCAGAAAAACAAGCCTTTTGTTAGCAGCTTGGAGCTCACACCCCACTGAGGGAGAGGGAAGTTCTCCTCTGCTCCGCTCAGAGCCTCAGCCCCATCACTGCGTGTCAGCTCGCACATGGTACCAGCTACAGCAGCAGAACTGAGCCCAGCAGAAGGCCCACATCCATCCACTCCTGCTCTGCAACAGGCTCATGTGGCCAGCCTCCCGCTGCTGCCTGAGCACTGAGATGCTGGAGCCTGATTTGGCACCATGTGGGAACCAGACTCCTCATTCAAAGCACGACTGGTACCCGAATTTCCCATTGGAGTGGACCATGAACCTGGATAACAGCCCATTATTACTGTGCTTTTTGCATATTCATCATTCAGTCTCCCCAGATCATCCTGCTTTTCAACCAGCAATTCCATTTACTACTTTAAGGCCTGGAAGGGAACAGACATTTGGAAGAAAGCACAGCTATCCTGAAGTAGAACAAGTACACTGATCCAGCTGAAGGAACTATCGGACTTTCCCTGTAAACCATAATCTGACACATGGAACTGGCCTGAGGCTTCTCTGTGGATCCCTTCCTCCTGCACACTGAACAATGAGCACAGCTACTCAGCATGGCCTCAGGACTAAGACTTCACAGAAGCTGCAACTCACCTGAAACCTGTAGAGGCTGCCATCTGTCTTAAGGGTGAGGTTCTTTGGCTCCTGAAGAGGGTAGATGTACCCGTATTTGACAAACAGGTCCCCAAGGTGGAGTGCTTCTGCAAACAGAGAAGGCAGATGTTTGGACTGCACAGGAACACCGCACTGGAAGGAACAAGTGAGCAGCTACTTGGGAGTGAGGAATTCATCCGAGAGGTTTTGTCTATGGAGACCCTCAAGTTTTAGAACTTAAAGCCTCAATTTTTACATTTGTACCCACCTTCCTGAGGGATCTGCAAGCGCTGGAGAATCCACTGCAATATGTCATTACCTGCAAAGCAAAGAGCATGTCAGCTGCCTGAAATCTATGGGTGAAACGAGACCTCTCCAGTCCTCACCCCTCCCTGTGCTCTGGATCCCACCAACCCCTTCTTGCAAACATGCTTCAAAACACCCTATGCAAGAGAAGTGATAAAGAGAATACAGAGACACAGAGATAAAATGCACTGCTCTCCCTGACCCTGCTGTCATTCAGGCTTTCTCCTGACCAAGCAGACATCAGTCCTTGGGAAAGGGAGCCTGAGGCAGGCAGTGAGCTGAGGATGAGTGTGCAGAAGCACACGTGGCCTGAGCAACACCACCTAAACCCTCATCACTGGCTTAGAAAGGACTTAAGCAACGCAACAGCTTCCACACCCAGGGAAGGTGAAGTGCCCCTTGTTTGCACCATCTTGTCTTTGAAAGATGCACTGCAAAGTGTCTCCAGGCTCATCGAGCATGGTCCTGTCACAGTTTAAGAGTGACAGGTCCTCTTGAACCCTTCAAGGGACATGGCTTTCCATGCAGAAGGGATGCCTGAGTCTCACATCCAAGTTGTAGTGGTAAAAGGACCTATCAATGGAAACAAGATTTCTCCATTCACACTTTATCTGTCCCAGTTCTTCTGCTGGAGTGTGCCCGGTCGGACCTAGACTCAGCATAAACCTCCAGCACCCTCCTTCCATTTACACAGTGCAGTTTAAATCAGCCCTGATCAGTTGTTGGGCTTTTCCTCCAAGCGTCCTCCAGGACTGCAGGCAGAGGTGTTGACCTTTCTTGACATTGCAGCGATGACTTAACTTTCTACTAGGGCTCAGGGCTCTTATCCTACTGCCTGCTTCCTGAAATAGATGAAATTAAAGGATTAGCTCATCACTTGTTTCTAGACAGCTCTCTCTGCAAGCACTTTCCCCCAAAGGTGCACATTTAACTTGGTCTTTTCTGTTGTGAGCCACTTTCCTGCACTGAATTTAACCACTTGGCTTCCTGCACGTGAAAAGCCAAGCTCTCTTCAATGGGTCTGTATCCACTGCTCTAATGTCTTCACCACCCTGTCGCTAAACAGCAGCAATTCTGGTTGAGGAACCAGACTGAAGCAGAGAGCACGCAAAGAGGATGAGCATCAAGGGGCACCTTCCCTCCACAACATCTAGAAAGGGACTTTTAGGAAGTGGTGTTTTACATTGGCCAGACATCAAGAGAAGTGCTTGTTCCCCTGCTCTTACTCGAGGTGGCACTTTATCTTCAGCACAGGGGAAGCTTTTCTGCAGGGCTTCCTTAACTCCCTGCCAGCCAGGGAAAATAACAGTGGGGAAAACACAACCTATTTGGCCAAGTTGTATCTGGAGTTGCCTGAAGCAGAATCACTGGTTTCGGGGAGAGATTTTGTTCTTTGTGTTCTGAAGTGCTGCAGAAAGACCAAAGTAGAAGGCGGAAACTTTGGTACAGCATCTCTGAACATCCATAGTGGAGGATCCCTCACAAGGGCTGGAGAACAGGGAAGCAGAAGAAATGATAATGCCCTGTGAAAGGAGCTGCCAGGCACAAGGAGACTGTGCTAAGAGCTGCTGTAATGCCATACATGACACAGCACAGCTCCCTGTCTGCTGCTGCTTCAGCCTGCCTCAAGGAGGAGAAGCTGCCACTTACAGGCAGTGAAGTGGGTTGAGTGTTTTGCTCTTTTCCTGTGTACTGAATAAGAATTATTATTATTAGCAGAAAACTCTAAAGGGGAAGCTAATTGTTTATTGCTCATTTCTGCAGCACCAGCTTTCAGTCTGACTCCAGGCTGCCTGTTCTAGTTGGATTTTAATATTCATCCTGATACGTGATTCAGCCTCACTGGGAATATGACAGGTCTGGAGGCTGAAGCACCTACTCACCCCTATGCTAAAACAAAGCAAGGTCACTGGAGGTAAACTCACAGGAGACAGCTAAAAGGGCATGACTATCACTCTCTGTGTCTCTGATTCAAAGAGCTAGGAGTGAAATGAGACAGGAGTGAGAATGAGATAAAGGGAGCAGGCTCAAGGATGTAACAGCAAACACTTATTGTGAGCACAGGCTCCAGCACGCAGCCAGGCAGTGGTAACCCTGGAGTCCTCACACAGCCATTCCTGATGGACTTCCTTGGCCTGGTCCCTTCCCCTGGCGCAGCTCTTACCTGCCACAGCATGTGGGATGTTGGTGACCATCACTCTCTGTGTCTGCGTCTTGATGCCCGTGTCTGGATTCTGCATCTCCATCATCAGCGCTTCGATCTGCAAAGCATGGAGCAGATGGGATGTATCACAGGAGCCCCAGGACCACCCCAGCTCTGGGCAGCGTCCCAGAGGGATGTATAGTGACACAGGAACGGATGCAACGGCCACAGACCTCCCCATGCCATTAGAGGTGCCACCTCCGACCCATGCCAGCTCTCACACTGACCCACAGTGCCATTTCCCCCTCCTACAGAAGACACAAGCACAGGGTTAGCAGATGAGGGACAGGATGTAACCACGCCATGAGAGCTGAGCTAACAAGAAAGATCCCCGAATCCCTGCTACCCACCGATGTTCTTCTCTGGTGCAGAGGGCTGTCTGCTGGGGCACCAAGGAAGAAGAAATCAATCTGTTTCCACTGCACAAATACCCCTCCTGTGCCCTTGTAGATACTGCACCACGCACCAAGAACATAAGCAATATTCCTCAGCCCCATCTGTGGGCAGCAAAGCTCAGTCCCTCTGGGACAGGGCAGAGACACACCATCCGGAGCAACTCCTCCTCCTGTCTGACAGCATCCTCTATCCCATCAGGAAGCCCTGAGGGATGCTGACGACTTGGTTTTAACAGATGATGTTATGGAGGATGAGCCTCACCCTCAGGGCGAGAATTCTTCTGTTTCTGGTTCCAAATGACCCTTTTATTTTTAAATATGAAGATTTTCAAAGGTATTTTTCTCCTCTTACATTTGACTTCTTACTGGCAGCATCCCAAAGGCACAGCAGCATCCCAAAGGCACAGCAGCCCCCCGGGATGCTCCACTCAGACGGCTGGAGTTGGGGCATGCTCCTCATCTCCTCATTTAGAGGACCTGGCTCTGTAGATGATGCTCTTTTGTCTTCTGCTTCCAGAGACCCTAAATCAAAGCTGGTCCAACAGGACCAATTCGGTCTCTCTGCACATTCATTTTGGGGCAAGGCTGAAGCTTTTTAACGAGGATTAGAGGATTTAACGAGCGTGGCTTGATGACACTCACACATAATGGAGGGTATTGTCTTCACAGGCACCACAGTGACTTCAGGCCTAAGTCTTGCCAAGCTCAGTGAGGATTTAAGCCTGTAGTGACAGGATGAGCTCTGGGCTTGACAGGAAAAATTGATTTTCAACTGGTTTTAAAGCCAGTGTCAAATTAATACTGAACCAGAGAAGCGTGGTGAGATTTCACACCAGTATCTGGATAAGTACTTCTATAAAATGATTTAAAATAGCAAAACCAGACCCAAAGCAATGGAATAGGAAGACTTTTATAGACCTTTGAAGTGAACCCCTGGTTTCAGCCTCAGCAGGTTCAAGGCTGGGTACGGAGTGATGGCTGTGCAGGGATGAGGTGAGGTGGGATGCTCCAGCAGGCAGGGCACTGATGCAGGACTTGTTCCCTGCAAGCAGTACAGCACACCCTGCCTGTTCCTGGTGGGCTCGAGAGATGGGTCTTTACCAATGGAGAGCAAGGAATTGTCTTGGAAACCCACAGAGCCTCCCAGCACAGCATGTGCCCTTCCTTCAGCGAGCAAAGAGCTCCAGGTTCTTGTCCATACCCCACTTGTCATTGCAGAAATAACATGTGATAAGGAGACAGCAGTGAGATGAGGGGCAGAGCTGCTGCTGGGAGGTGCCTGCTGCTCCATGGCTGCAACCCATCCACTGCTGATCAAATCTCCTCCTCTTCTCCTAAGGGAACGCTGCTGATTGTGGGATGCTGCAACCTGGAGCTGCAATCAGCAGCAGCCCACCAGGAAGAGGGCTGGGGAAAACACAGTGGGACGGTTGCTCTGCTTTGCTCAGGGCTCCAGCATGTTTTGTCACGCTGTCCGCAGGAAAGTGCTGTCTGGTTTATGTTCTGTAGGGACAGAAGACACTTCCTGGTGGGTGATGGGTGGAAAAGCACAGAGGTAATAGCAGCAGGAAGACCGATGAAGGAGCCAGGCTCTGGGGTGAGCTCACCTCCAGCAAAGAGCTACCACGACGCACGAGCCCCACTGAGGTCTCCATTCGGATCAGCTGGAATCTCTGCACAAGAGATTTAGTCCAGCCCCACCTGGCCAAGCACACAGCCCCTCACCAGGGCTGCCCGCAGCACCTCATGCTCCAAGTGATGCTCTGCAGAGATGTGCAGCACCAGCATCTCCTGTGTCGGACAGGGAAAGGGAGGATGGGGTGAAGCTGAGCGTGGCTTAAGGCTCAGCTTGAGCCGTGTCCAAGGCCCCACTTAAACAGAGCCTGACGGGCAGCTCCTTCCAGCAGAAACAGAGCTCGGATGCTCACACACCTCGGAAGTGCCCAGGCAGAGGAGGGGCAGCAGCTTGCTGAGCCCAGAGATGGAAGCCAAGCTGGAGAAGCCCCAAACCACGCTGCAGAACCCACTGGTCCCTCCCCAGTTGTGGTGCTGCCTCGGGAGGAGCCACCAGGGACAAGCGTAAGGAGGAGGCAGAGGAACAAGGCGAGCGGCATCCGTCAGCCCTTCCCACGAGCTACGAGTCATGTGCAGCCCCTGGAGCACAGAGGAAAAGCACAGGGATCGTACTGAAACAGCACCAGTGGGGAGCTGCGCTGAGCTCCTGCTCCTCCACCTGATGCCCAACAGGCCACGTCCTGGCTGCTGGGGCAGGCACCAAGAGCTTGGGTTGATTCGAGCTCTGCCAGCATCTGGCTACAGGCATTCAGCCCAAACGTGTTTCAGAGGCTTCCTCCCTGTCCCAACAGGCTTCTGTGCCAATGTCCTCCTTACTAAGACAGTTTAGGAGAGGAGAAAAATAGAATAAACCAACCTACGTGTTAGTCATGAGTATTTCAGAGATTATAAGGCATTCCAAGGCCTTGGAGGGGACTCTCAGATCCCATCATGGGTCAGCCATGAAGCTCTGCATCCAGCCCGAGTCATGCAGAGCAGCCTCACAGCACATACCCAGCACTGCCCATCATCCCTAAAGCAACCTCCCTTCCTGTCTCCACATCTGATGGCTGCTGGAGAGACAGCACAGCGGGAATCCCTCCATGTGCTGGAGCCAACGGTGACGTGCCAGCTGCTGGCAAAGCTGGAGCACAGCCTTAAGCAGTTAAGAAAGCTCCTCTCTAGGATTTTAGCTCCTCATGGATCTAAGGTGCTCGCTGGACGCATGCTGAGCATCCTCAGCTCCCACCACAAGCAACCTGTAAAGATGCTCTGTATTTTAGGATGTGGATGTCCAGACCACGCTGCCACGGAACAGCCGAAGATCCATACACATCTTTCCTAAGGTCTGGAAAAACCAGAGGAGGAATGAAAGCAGAGATGAGAGCTAAAACCTTTCTGTGACCAGCCCAGAGCTTCCCTTCCCAGCGCTAACAACAGGTCTGAGACTTGCAAAGCACCAGAACTACTCAAACCTCAATTCCCTGTGTTTTAACAGCTCTTCCCACCCGAGGAACTCGGAGCACATCACAAAGACTGCAACAACTGCTGCTGGGTTGTTTCCCAAAGCACATGGCTTCTCCCCTGCACCTCGAAAACACCGCACCAAAGAAAACACCTTCTTTACTTCCTCTGGCATAAAAAGTACAGTGCTTGTATTGCCGGGATCATGCTTTAGCTCTGAATAGCCCCAACTTTCCCCCCTGGATCATGGGTGCTGCAGGAGAACCAGCTACAATTCCAACAGCAACTGCCCGCACTTGTCACTGGAAATTCAGTTAATTCCACTCAACAGGATAAGCCACGGGCAGGAGAGGTGGGTGGAAGAGAAGCTCCACACTGCTGAGACCGGTTGTACTAAAACTGGCTTCGCTCTTGAATGAACACTGTGGAAAAACACCAACTGCTTTACAAATTACACATCACACCCCAGAGCGTGGGCAAACATCTTCCCACCCCTTCAAGTGTTTTCTGGGCACAAATACACTCGCTGCTGAAAAAAGTGGGAAATGATTTGGCCATGATATGTCCCAAAAAGCAGACGCGTATCAGCTGGAAGCCCAGGGAATGCTGGACCCAACTGAGTGGCCCAGTGCTGCAGATGATGGGCTTTCCCCTGGGAAACAACACCGTTTTCAGGGTCTTCGGGGGGAAAAGGATGGGAGAAGGAGGAAATGTGTCAGGAGAATAATTCAGCCGAGGCTAAGCCACAAAACTAAACGCAATGACAGTTTTATGTCCTCCGGCAGTCAACACGTTGTCCCCCAGCCCGAACCCCGGGGCCACGGGGCTCAGCAACAGGTCGTGTCCCCAGACCCCCGGGGCTGCTCCCCCTCGCACACCCAGCGG